AGTGGTACACACTTAAAACCATTTTGTAGCTGTACCGTCATTCTGGTTTTTACTTTCAGTACAGTATTCAGTAAATAACATGAGATATTCAACACTTTATTATAAAACAGCCATTGTGTTAGATGATTTTGCCCAACTGTAGACTAAGGACTCAGCACATTTAAGGTAGTTTAAGCTATGATGTCTGGTAAGTGAGGTATAGTATACATCTGTCTTTGACTCTCAGCCATGGATTTATCTCATCGTAATTTGAGAAAGATCTTTGCTTTGAAGGCTTTCATTTTGATTTCTTTTCTTCCTTCTTTGTCTTACTAATTCATTGAATATTTATTGTGTATATCATATGTGAGGCACACACAATTCCTCTGTGCTAATTTTGATAGGTGGTACAAAGATGGGTAAGATACTGTTCGTTAGAGTAGGTTGTTTAGGTTTTATTTCATCCTGGCGAAGGGCACAAATGGATGTTGAAATCTAGGAATTTTTTGGCTACATGATGTGCCTTTTAGGGCTACATCTGTTTCTGATACCTCCTGTTTTTCACAAAGGCATTGGCTGCTGACTATACTCTTTCCTCTGGTGTGGGGCTCTGACTCTGTGGAGGAGGCATCATTTTCTGATTTGCACAAAAGCACTGTGTTGTCAGGTGATAGCCCTGAGTAGTGGGCATATATGACAGGTTCACCGGTAACTCTACTACAGGGCAGATTATGCTCAATTCCAGTCTAGAGGGTTGAAGAGAGCACTATGTATTTGATTGGGATGGCATAATCCAGGGAAGGCTTCTTGAAAAGGTGGCATTTTGAGTTCAAAGCTAGGCAGATTTTTTTAAGCAAATATTAAAGACATTTTGGGTGATAAAGTAGATAGAAATTAATAAATTACTCATAGTTCCTAATTTAAAAAAAATTTTATAAATAATTTTAGATTGATAGAAAAGTTGCAACAGTAATAATTCTCTTATACTCTTTACTATATTCTTCAAGTAATATTTCACTACATTATTTCATTTTTCCTCTATTGTTAAAATTAATGTATATCATATAATTAATATAAAATTTATTTTGTTAAATGTATGAGAGACATGGTGTCTCTTAGCCCTAAATACTTCAGAGTGTGTTTCCTAATAACAAGGACTCTTAAAAAACCACCATATAGTTGTCAAAATAAGGAAATTAATGTTGTGCCAAATTATTATCTGTTGATCTTACCCAGATTTTACTAATTTTTCTTCTGATGTTCTTTGTTAAAAAAAAAATTTCTGGTCCAAGAACCAACCCAAGATTATATGTTACATTCAATTGTCATGTCCTATAGGTCTCCTTTAATCTGAAGTAGTTCCTTAATCTTTCATGATTTGAATACTATATTCGAGTGTAGTATTATATTTTGTAGCTTGAATGTTATAGATTATTTCGTAGAGTGTCCCTTGACTAGGGTCTGATATTTCATCTTGATTAGATTCAGAGTGTGCATTTTTGGTGTGAATATCACAGCAGTGATGAGTGTGTTCTCAATGTAAGAGAGAAAGGAGATGTGTGTTGTTTATTTGTCCCATTGCACTTGCTGTTAACTTTGATCACTTGATTAGGTAGGATGATGTCTGCTGGGTTCCTTTACTATATTAAGTTATTTTTCACTTTGTGATTAATCAGTGTCTTGTGAAGAGATACTTTGTGGCTATGGAAATATGGAAATACCTGTTTCTGCTTTATTAGATTTAATATCCATTGGTGATTTTTGCCTAAAACAGTTATTACTGTGGTAATTACCAAATTCCACCATTCCTTCCACATTTATTGGTTGGAATTCAGATGTCAGGTTGAAAGTATGACAAGGAGGTGGAGCTCTCTGATACTGTCCTTTGCACAAAAGTTTTTAATTTTGAGGAAGTGCTTTTTACCTTCTTTCCCCTTATATTGTCTTTGCTTTTGGTGTCACAGTTAAGAAATTATTGCCAAATTCAAGGCTATGAAGATTTACCCCTTTGTTTTTTCCTAAGAGTTTTATAGTTTTAGCTCTTAAGTTTAGGTTTTTGACCCCCTTTTTGAGTTAATTTTTATATATGGTGTAAGGTAAAAGTTCAGGGGTCTTTTGTATGTGGTTATCTAGCTTTTCCAGAAGCATTTGTTGAAGAAACCTTCCTTCAAATAATCTTGACACCCCCCCCCCGTTTGATAAAAATCAGTAGCCCATAAATATGAGGGTTTATTTCTGGGCTTTTTATTCTGTGTCATTGGTTTTTATGTTTGTCCTTATGCTAGTACCACAATATTTTGATTACTGTAGCTTTGTGGTAAGTTTTGAAATTGGTAAGCCACACTTTGCTTTTGATATATGTGTATTGTTAAATGATGATAATTTTTTCTCCCTCCACCCTTTTTTTTTTTAATGCCATTATTTGTGGAAGAACTGTCATTTGTAAAGTCACATTTACCACATACTGGGTTGAACTGATTTGTAACCTAATGATACATTGCTCTTCTACCCAATGTTTCCTATAAACTGATAGGTCTAAAAACTTGATTAAATCCAGGCTCCCATTATGTCATCAGAAAGCATTTTTACCCCTGTGAGGGAAATTGTAAAAAGCAAGAGAAATAATGTAATGAACCCCTGCACGCCTACCACCTAGTTTCAACAGTTATCAACTCATGCCAGTCTTGTTTCGTTTATAACCCTGTCTGTTTCCTCCCTCCTGTATTATTTTGAAGCAATAAAATCTG